TACAAAAGTAGTTTATATAAATATTTATATAAACTTATCACATTTAGGTTAAAACCAAACTGACTGAATACAGTTTGGAAATACATAACTGAAACTGTTTAAATACCATTTAAAAAGTAACAACTAAACGATATCAGAAGGAAGTAGGTCCTGGGTTCGAATCTTGCGAGGCGGGATCGTGGATACGCACTGCTGAGGAGTCCCACAATAGGACGAAACGGCCGTCCAGTGTTTCCAGATTTCCATGGCTGTCTAGCTTCAATTGACTCATGATCTCAACTATGGAAAACTGAACGATATATTTTGTTGTCAGTGAAATTGTTTTATGTTTTGTGTCTTTTTGTTTTGTTAAATATATTTTCACTATGCACCTGATTTTTTTTGTCTAAACCTTTCAATAGTTTATTTCATTACAAGTTTGTTTTTTTATGAAAAGTATAGTAGAAAGATAATGTCAGAAATTTTATGTACCTAAATGAATATGAATAAATTAGCCTGATGTTCAACGGTTACAAAAACTGCCATCGTGCTTCAGAATATATAAAATAACTTACGTATTCTTAAATAAACTTGTATTACTATTTTTGTTTATTCTAATGTTGTAAATACAATAAGGAGGGAGCAATGCAAATGCTATTCAGCTAAAGAACAACGATTCATATTTGTATCCTCTTCTAAGTGTATGAAAATAAGAGAACCAGCCAGTAAATGGTTATTTTTTAAAATTTCGGTAGAATGGTATGATAGTGAGTAACAAAAAGAAATAAACAAACTATTTCTCTTCATCAATTTGCTATCAATTTTAACGTGAATTAACTAATACTATATTATATAATTGTTGATAATGACATCGGACGTCAGTGGTAGTAAAAATAATTTGGTCGCTTGAATATCTAGTCTACCTGTTTGGTGAATGAAGAACTCAGGTGGGAAAATCAATTTCTTGTTCAAACCAAAATTATTGAGTATCTTAGTAAAATATGAAAATCATACATTAAATACATTATTAGCACATCTTCGAATCGTCTCTTATAAGCTTCATTGTCCCTTGATTCCTGTTGTTATCTCGATTGATTTCATTTTCCCCCTTTGTTCTCTTCATTTCAATCAGCCGTCTCAGACTTCTCTGTTCCTTCATTCCCACAACAATCATTCTCTGTTCTCGTTCTCTTTTCTTTGATCTTCTTAACCTTCTGCTTCCAGGTATTTCACTTTCGATTAATAAAACATACTACTTATATCTATCGACATCAGTAGCACACACTACAGTTTAATGCAATGCTTAAAGAACAAAGAGAATCAGTTTCTTAATTTATATACAACATACTCTGTGAAACAAAATTTACCTATTGAACCAAATCACTCTACGTTATTCGTCGTACCCAGATCTTTCCTATTTAAATATGAATGACTAATTTCAACAATATAATCATCATGATTGGAAATATACATGGATATTGATCTAGAAAAAAAAAAATAAGCAATTAATTATACTAATGGATATAATCAATTTGACTTCCATCAACTTCTATGATAGCTATTAAATACGTAGAATATGTTTAGATGAAACATATTTACTTATCTTTATGAACAAAAGATAATCGTTTCTATTTGCTTTCAATGTGTCCAACTAGTTTATCTAATCTAAACAAATAATTTATATGAAATATACAACTATAAACAACTCACAAGATTTCTAGTCTTTCATATCATCTGTATTCTACTCAATGTTATTAATCTACTGATAAATTCTATCTATTACCTGTGTTATAATAATTAAAAACAAATTGTTCACATGTGACTCAATATTTGTGAGAAGTTCTCTCCTCTAATAATATTTTCATGTGTGCCAATATTTTAAGTGACTTTACCTAAAACACTATTAGAACCCTAGAAGAACTGGACGTCTGTTTAGTCCTACTATGGTAATGTACAGCAGTGTGAATCCATGACTCCATATCTGGGGCTCGATCACAGGACATCAGTTCTCGTCCGCGAACCCATAACGTTTAGACCACTCAATCAGCACCCAAATGTGTTAATGTTTATCTTCAACTTGTTCACAATATTACGTAACGACCGCCCGGTCCTTGTGGTGAGTAACTGTTCTAAACCTGACTGTGGGGAATCCCGTACTAGGAAGAAATACCTGACCAGTATTTCCAGAGTTTCAATGGTGATTTAACTGAGATCAGTTCTTGGTTCGAAGCGGTGAAAATTCTAAAATTTCCACAAATCCTGTAAACTAATAATGGGATTCTAACTTTTATCACTTAGTAAAGTAAAACATTAGTTGTATTTTAATTATTCTTTCTTGTTGGTATCTATCCAAACTGAAAGTTAAAAAAACATTTGATTTCCCCCTAAAAAAATATACAGGGAACGTTTTAAAAGAGATAATCTACAACAAAATGAATCATGTAAATGTATCTTATACTGTATGTTATCTAGATTCCTAAAACGTAATACCTTAACGTTAACTGTGGTTAAATGCACTTTTTAAATATTTAATGGTGATTTATTCTCAACTTATGAAACCATTGTAAATATATCAGTAGTGCTTATTACATTGTTCACAGTTATGAATAACTGAAGTTTCGTAGATCATATTATGTTTACTGTTTCCATATTCATATAATTGTAAATCGAACTTAACAACATTTATAACTTAAGTATAAAATGGTATTTCTTTTGTAAAATACAACGCAAAAATAGTTGTAAACAACTGTCGGCTAACTCTATTACATAAATTAGCCATGAAGTGAATAACCATCTAAATTGATCAACCTGTTACCATCAATGTAAATACAGTAAAATAATTTTTAGCCGACCACTTTTGAAGCTAACAAAACCAGTGGATATAATACTAAGAGACTAGGTAGCATTTGTTTGAAATGTTCTCGGAACTCCTGAAATGATTTTTCCTGTGTTTGGAAAAGTTATACGGTAGATCAATTTCTGCGAACTATTACCCTGCTTACATCTTTGAATTACACCATACTATTTTTGTGGATTTAGAAACTGCCTAAAGTTCACCCATCATTAATGAATTTTAGTTTTGGAGAAAATTTGAAGTTTATAAGGATATTTTTGCTAGTACTTTATGATTAAGCTCATTAGCGAACAGAGAACACAAAAGTATCCAAAATATCCAACTCCTTTATGAATTCTTTCGGTACATTCTTAAAGAGAGCAACATCATCCCAGTAAAATGCTCAAACAACATTAGTACAGTAGTAACAATATCAACGCTATTGTATCGTTATCATTTCAAAACATCAATTTCTCATCTTACGCATTCAACAGAATTTCGTTTCCCATAATCCGTTTCTGTAAAATTAAAACAAACAAACAAATTACTAACTACAATCTATTGTAAACTGACTATTCTGTTGAGATTAAACTAGTAATTAGAGTTTATGTTTACCCATGTTTAATTCATTAGGGTATTAAACTAATCCTAACAGAAATAGATACTATGTATCATGGTGGTTTTTATTATTTATCTATTTGTATTTGTTATTATTATGGTTTTACACATAAAGTAACGTGTTAATGATAAAAATGTGAATCCCTCTGGGATAATGAAGGAAGCGAAATATTCACTGTAAAGTGAAATAATCAATTATAAATATGGTTGTATCATTTAGCAAATTCACCTTACTTTGTTTTTCTTCCATCAAATAGAAAGTGATATCCATATAGTTGATTTTTTTCTCATTAAATTTTCGTTGATCTATAACACTTTCTGTAAAAGCGTTACTCAATTTAAACAATATAACTATCAATAAGTACTTCTGATATAATATGTAACAATTAACCAGAGACACTGTCAACAACAAAGTCACCAAACAAGCCTAATAGTTTGAGTTTCTGTTTATTTTATTAAACTGATGAGTCTTTTTAAAAAAATCTAAATGGGTTCTCTTTATAACCCACATGAATATCTTTAGTGTATACCAATCTGACTGAATGGGGCTTGATGAACTAGCTAATACAACATATGTGAAAATATTTTGTCGCAAATAATCACAGTAGTTTGTTCCATGTATTTAACGTAAGCGATAAATATTTATTTCGAAATAATGACAATAAAAGTGTTTATAAGATCCAATTTTATCTTGACGAGACCTCTGAGATATTATTTCTGACTGTTCATAGTATGCTATAAAAAATTAGTACACAAATAATGTACTGACAATATCCTGAAGTGCTTATTAATTTAATTAGAAATTTATTTACTTGCATATTTTACCTCAAACATTTGATATATCCAGTAGAAGGTCTATTTTACGAAACGGGCTTTGATGTCTTGAAAGAATGCATACTTTAAGCGATGGTTAACTTCTAATTTATAGCTTATTTATCTCCCCAGCAAGATGGCATATGAAAAGTAAGACGAATTAATTATTAATTAACAAGTCAGTATACTCCAGATGTTGTAATCTAGTCAGTATATATGATGACTCATTATAGCCTATATCTTCATGTTGATCATTATCGAGTAGGTGTTGATTTCGAGTCTTAGCATTAATATCAACATTGAGATGTAGGTAAATCCAGTTGATGAGTTCGATTAATATAGACTGAAAATTCGAATTTCCATAGCTTACTACTATCGTAATGTCATAAATAATTTTTCAAATCATTTGCATATTTTCATCAATGTTGTTTCCCTTAAGTTTACGTTACTCACGTAGATTTAAGGAATATATATATATATATATATATATATATATATATATTTCAGACTTCACAGTATATCAATAATTTACATAGTTATTCTGCAGGAATTATAACAACTGTCATTTAGAAATTTCTAACTAATTTTCCATGTATGTATATATATACTAAAATGCATGTGGGAATATTTTGGTCATGTACGTTAGAGTTTGTGTCACAAAGCATCGCTGCTTTACTAATTTGTGTGCACACATTATAAGCACATACACATGTGTGTATATCTGCATACGATATATGGATGTGTACGGATAAGTTCCTGTAAATAAGTATATGTTTATGACTGAACAAATATTGCCTAGTATGAATTATTTCAACCTAGTGATCAGCTGTTGCAATCTGACATTGGCTATTTCCGTCACTGAAAGTTTCTCTAACTTGGTACACTATTGTGGAATATTTTGACATATGTTTCTTGTTTTCTCTCCCCCACTCGCTTTCTCTCTCTCTCTCTCACTCCAACCTTTGTTGTCCATATCTGCAGTGATAATAAATAATGAAATAATAAAAATAAATGTATTAATATTATAAATACTACTAGTACTACTATTAATGATGGTGGAAGGGGTTTCTTTTTTATCTTGACATACTGGCCATTCAGAATAAGAGAGACAGACTCAGATAAATGTGTTTATCTACACGTGTATATATGTGTTTGTACATATATGAGTGTATTCTTTTTTTGTTTAGGTATTATGTTCTATCATGGAACACATAGTTTTTTGTTTGTTTGAGGTATTCACAATCATTCCACATATCGGATGTTATCCTTTTAATTTCCTATATCTTTTTTCTTCTACACCTGATACCCCCAATGTCCAATAAAACTCAACTGATGTAAATAATGAGCAATATCATTTAGTTATTTACAGATTTATTTACCCAATGGACAACACATAATCACGACAATTTAAAATAACAATCTCTAAGATTGATTTTAATCCAATGATGATATGAAAAAAAATCATTATTAATTAATTATTGGCAACATGAACATCTGGAGTTAATTATTAGAAATCCTTTTTTCTTCATTATCAGTATCATATTAACTAATTTGGTAAGTTATAATTGATAATTACTGTAATGGTCAGTGAATTTTTTTAAATTATTATTTATTGGAATATACAATATTAAGTGATTACCAATGGACTGTAGAAATTAGTAATAATAATAATAATAATAATAATAATAATAATAGTAATAGTAATAATAATAATGATAATAATAACACATTAAATAGGTTTGAATTATTTTTTCTGGTTAGCGGCTTATGCTCCTCCACGAGGGGTAACAGGCGTAAGTAAGTAAATAGGTAACATTAAATAGGAATAATATATTTGTAAAATCTAAGCGAATGAATTTGAAGTAAATCCATCGTTTCACCTGGCAATCTGGTCCATGGAAATATAATTTATACTTCCTTCAAAAAGCTTGGACCAGATTGCCAGGCGAAACGTTGGATTTACTTCAAATTCATTCGCCGAGAATTTACAAATATGTTATTCCTATTTAATGTCTTACATCAACTCGGCGCTCAAATACTGTGAAACTAATCGCTCTGATTTAGACGAAAGTTCTTATAAATAATAATAATATTTTTGTTTCTATCTATTTTGTATAAAGCATAAGGAATATATAGGGTTACAATTCTAAATCCTCATTTATCTATGGATAGTAGAGTAGGATTGACAGTTTGTATACTTTAAATTAGCTCATAGTGTACTTATCATTAAATTGAAATGATTCTCGATGTTTTCATATTGATTAGAAAATTTTAACATAAACTACAGAATAGAATTACTAAACTCTTACTAAAAGTATAACTTTTTTGATAATAATGGACCAAATAAAATTAGATAATAAGTATATCCATTTTCAGAACAAGAAGATATGATATTGTAAGCAATTATGTATAGTGGCTAGCAGTGGGATCCAGGACGCGCGTTTCGATATGATATTACTGAGTGCACACTAGGATGTGCTTTGTTCAATTGTTTCAAAATCTCATAGTTGATTAGATTCTGTTTTTGTGCTCATTGGTTAGTATTATTCTTTTAATTCAAGGAAGTGTTGCACTATAGTCAAGTAGATTATGGAAATAAAGAGAACTACTTATTATGCATCATCATTTCAGATGAGGTCCTGATACAGATTTATGCCTTAGACGAATAATTTAATAATAATAATATACAGCGTGAGAGAAAGAAAGAAATTTACTTTACTGACATTGTTGCTCTAAATTGAAACTTAATTAAAGTTAAAATAATATTAAAAATTTGAATTGATCATTGTGACACAAAGAATCTACTAGCCTAAAATGGTCATTATTAATTAATGTGTTTCTGAGATCATTAATGGATCACGTTTGAAAATGTTTACCGAGTTCTTTTAAGTAGTCTACCGAAAGCTATTGAGACTTCTTAATTGTAATGATTCATACTACATAGAAATATCTATCCAGTGCTTCTTGGTATCCAGTTACCATCGATTGTATAAGAATTTACTAAAATCTTTACAGAACCGCTTCAACTAAAATTAATAAATCCCTATTTTTAAAGCAGAAATCACGAGTCAATCAAAGCTAGAACATCATAGAAAACCTGGAAGCACTGGACAACTATTTAGTTGTAGTTTAGAACTCCTCAGAAGTGGTCATCCACAATCTCGCACATGGGATTCTAACTCGGGAACTTAGATCTCACGCGCGAGCGCTTAACCACTAGGACATTAAGCCGCCATCTAACGCTGTTATTGCCTAACTTCAAACAATGCATGACCTTGCACAACCCCTCACCGATTGCCTGCGATTGGCAACTGTCTCACACCCAACATGGATTAGACTTCGTTGGACACGGAGCGAAACCGAAGGTCCTGGATTCGATTCCCGCGCGTGATATCGTGGATGCCCACTGCTGAGGAGTCCTATACTACAACTAAATAGTTGTCCAGTGCTTCCAGGTTTTCAATAGTATCCTAGATAAGATCGACTAATGATTTCAACTGTAAAATTACTACTGTTTCCACAAACCCCTCGCACTGATAAACTTACCTATTTCTTTTGTGCTTTTGTTAACTGAATATTCTAGAAGGATGAAAAATACAAAAATGACCTCCTAGCTAGCATTTTCCCATCACATTACTACTCAATATATGTTTTAGATTAAAAAGAATTCTTTAAAACTTTCTAAGCATTGATGTTTGCAATCATTGAATTAGTGCTCTCTTGAGTATATATTTTCAATCATTCGTGGCATAAGAGCAGTTTAATTAGTGTGCATTATGTTAACTTGTGACACTTTGTAACACTTTTGTCCCTATAAAGATAACATTAATTTAGGTAAGCAATAAGTTTTCTAAGCACCAATGAGCTTTTCATAACGTTTTCAAATGCACCGCTATTATCTTTATGCAAAATTAGAGACTACATTTACATGACAATAAAAGAACTTGTACTTAACAAAAGCGGGATTCCAAAATAACAAAAGCCTTAGAATTAATAAGCCTATTTCGATTTGGTCACGAAACATTTGAACATGAATTCGCTAATCTTACTTCTAGTGTTAAGATGATTTATGTGGGGTTTTGTTCACTGAGCTGGATGGTTCGGCCATGGATTCTTGGACTCAGAATCAAATCAAAGGGAGATACAATCAAAATGAAGAGGTAGATACTGGCAGGTTAAAGGTCAACAATAATCAATGAAGATGGAGGTCGACAGGACAAGTTCTGAGTCATGTGTGGAGAAATTCGAACACTCCGCATTTACTTGAAGTTTATGCTGATGGTGTTATTCAGAAGAACAATGAAAGCTCCACGATCAAACCATCCAGCTCTTAGAACAAAACCCCGCCTAAATCATCCATCTGAGCTACGAATCCTCTCCACCATCTCCGTGTTAAGATGACTTTTTTTAGCATTCGCAGTGTAAACAGTCCTCTGTATTTATGATAATTCTCATAAATACATAACACAAAGTCAGTGCGAATTAAAGTAGCGTGGTGAACGGCCTTATGATGACGATAGAAAACATCTCACTACATTTCAACTAAACAAAGCGTTTCACTGGCGCGAGTCGTTCATATATCCCACTCTCTATCGTATAACTACCACACTCAAAGTGAAAATTTCTATACGAAATTCCAACTAAAACGACAGGTGGTGACAAAAAATCAAGGTTTTCAAAGGTGTAATATACAGAATACAACCCATCATGGTATTTATTGAAATTGCTATGTCTAGTACAATTTCGTCATTTTCACGGCAGAATAATTAGAAAATTTAGAATTGTCGTTCATGATACTACTTTATTCTTCTTGGACCGTCAGTCATGCTATAAATTCATTTGGAGATATCGATTACTCAGGTAGCTTTTTTAAGACCCTCAGCGTTTTGAACAATGGATATACTGACTGCATAAGAATCATAGGGGGATTTTTAAGCACATTTTATATAGGTTGAACTTTTATGACGACCTTTGTAAGGTCATTTAATTTTTATGGTCTTTTGCTATAGATAATATGCACTTTTTCGCTAATAGCTATTCCCCATGCATACAAACACTGATTAACTTATTACAAATGAAAAACTGAAATTTTCTCTCAATATTACATGAAATGTAGGTCATACACATTTACTTTAACTAATTTATCTCACTACTTTTTGAACCGAAAATGTTACTGTTATTACTAAAGTAAGATACCTATGCACGTCACATTCGGTAAAATATCAACTGTAACCAAAAAATTGTTAAAAACTTGACTATGCACCCATAGTACTAATATTTAGTTTCGATTATTAATAGTTTGGTTGTTGATTGACTGTTCTGATTAAATACCATCCTACAAAAAGTTCATACAGTTGATTTAAAGCACACGTAGAGCCTATCGCATAATTACTGCTTGTTATAAGGTGTTAGTAGCAGTATAAATGCATCAAATTTTGACATACCTCCATTTTTATTGCAATGCTTAAATCAACCAACTCATTTATTGATTGAGATCATGAACCGACCAATGTCAGACCACCATTGGAAATCTGGAAGCACTAAACAACTGTTTCGTCAAAGTGTAGGACTCTTCAGCAGCTCTCATCACAATCCTGCACACGAAATTCGAACCTAAGATCTTCGGCCTCGCTCGTGAACGCTTACCGTGGATTGGCTGAAGTTGGGCATCAAAGCCGATGAACGCCATCTCATTAGTCTAGAAGTTAAATATTCATGCGCGTGATCGAAGGTCCTAGGTTCGAGTCTTACGGATGCACACTGATGAGTAGTCTCACACTAGAGTGAAACGACCGTCCACTGCTTCCAGGTTTTCAATTATGGTCTAACATTGAACAGTTCATGATCTCAATTAAAACTCAACAGTCTCCAATTCCCTATACTGATCACTTATTAATCTTCGACTGGATAACTGTGCGATCGGACCTGCACTTTCCATTACGTAACCAGCCCAAAACTATTAGCAAAAGGAAGAACCAATAATATAATAGGGATAAGTATTTTCAACACTATCTTCTCAGGGCAGTTTTGATTATTGTATAAATATTCGGTGACTCTATGAAATGAAATTGAGAAGAAAAATTTCATAGTTTCTCTCTGAGTTTCGTTATAGCCCCTAGTTTTTAAATAATATACCTCATTCCATAAAATAACAATAATATATCTATGATGCTTGGTGAATATAATGTCAGTAATTCGTACTATGTTCAAAACTAACGGCGTTACAGGTTCTTCTGACTATAGTTCCGAGTTTATAATCATCATAAACACAGTTATGTCCATGAAAGTCTTTTATGTAATAAATAATCAAATAAATTAACTCGACGAATAAAGAAATTCAGAAAGAATTGAAACTGACTGATTACTATGAGTTAAAAGTTTCCTTGTAGTTGAAAATGATTTTATTGGTCTGTGGTTTTAGAATGTGGAAGGACTCAGTTACTTCTTTATACCATCAAGCTACAACTGAAAATGTTGGCCAATGAACTGTTATCAACGTTTCACTCCAACTAATAAGAACCAAGAGAAAAACAGTCATATAGTGACACTTATTT